GAAACTTACCATCCACCCTCACTCGTAGGAGGGTTAAGGTGGGCTATAAGAATGGGGGGTTGGTTCCCTGCCGTACCAATCATAGGAGCCCCAACCGCCCCCCCATTTGTTCCTTTCATGAACACCTCTTTTCAAGTCCTTTTCCAAGCCATTTATCCAGTCACTGTATACCTTTCCTATGGAGTACCTACACTGGACATCCACCCTACACTTAAATAATGAGTTGCGACATATGACCTACCGCCCATCATGCCATGCATGAACAGAGCCCTTCCTGAAACCCGCTGTGGGGAAGGCGAGAAAAACCCAAACTGCATCCAGTGGTGGTAAGGGAAAAATTCCTTCCCAGCCCTACTAAAAATGGGATGGCTAGCGTAATGGCCCTAGCAGGTGTTGACCAAACCTGGTATTTTACCACCCAAAAGGGAGGGAGGGTGGGTCCTGCTTCAGCCTTGGTCTCTGTAAAAAGGAAGGCTTTAGACGCTGACCTGCCCCTTTTAAGCCCTGCATTCCCAAGGGATATCCGTGACCAAGCTGACCCTTTTTTGCAGCAGTTTTCATCTTCCCTACCACCACCAGCCATAAAGCACTGTTCCCTTCTCTCGGCCAGCCAGTCAAACACTGCCCCCACTGCTTAAAAGTGCAGGACGGTCAATCTGATCATGTCACATCTGAAGCAATTGAGCTTTAACTAATTAAAAATAAATCTGCCTCAGTAAATTGCTTAAATTCAGAAGTAGCTATTTAATATAATTGCTTTGTGCAAGGACCACACATATCAACATGTTTATATCAGTAGATTCTATCAGATTATGGAATAAAAGGTACGGGTTTAATACATCATGGCTGTGGTGGCACCTTCCTAGGAATTGTGTGTGTGGGGGGGGAAATTGAGGCGCGCTCTCTCTCTCTCTCTCTTTCTTCTCTGTATGTGCTTGTAGCCATGTCGGTCCCAGGATACTAGAGAGACCTTACCCACCATGTCCCCCGGTGGTAAATAGTCTATAGTTCTAATACTGTTCAGAAAACCAACACTAGAATTGCATTTTAGTGACCATGTTAGTCTTTGAGGCTGATAGTTGCCAGGACTCCTGGATTCTTATCCCAGCTCTATCAGTGCTGTACTGTGGGATATTAGCCAAATAACTTTGTAACTGTAACTGTTGGAGTGTTGTGAGGATTAATTAATTAATTAACTGACTTCTTAAACTGAAGGGTACTATAAGAAGTGCAAATTGTTATTTATCCATGGATTATGTACGGCCTTCAGTCTGTGTGCACATGTTTTCATTTATATGTGTACACACATACAGGATTAAATATGCAGTTAAAGTATATGTCCTTAAATATTTTACTTCCAAGTTTGTAATTCACTCAGTGTAAATCGATATAGATAACTAAAGATTTCCTTCAGAATAGCGAAGAGTTAATAAGCATTTATTGGCTAAAGCAATAAATTTAAAGCATATTTACTCTAATGAAAATATATTGGTGTTTGTACTAAGCATGTCATTAGTAATTTTCATCTAATGGTTAATAATCACTCTGAGTGCTCAGAAATCATTCTGGGATAAAGTATTTTGTCATGAAAATATTTTAAAATGGGGATTTATCATAAAAATGTTGTAGTGTTACATATGGTTTTTATATTTTTGTCTCAGGTGCTTTAAGAAATCATTTCCTTAATGCTTCATTCCTTTGGAGACTTTTCTGAAAAATGATTCATTTGTATATAATTTGTTCATTATGATTTAATCTGCATAGATCTAGTAATATGTCATTGTGTGGTCTTACCTCATTACTAGTTTACCTTTTCCACATCTCTCCCCAGATTTCCTGGTCTCCTCTATGCTAGTACTGAGAAATATTACAATAAATGTATTGTGGAGTATTATACTGAAAATGCAGTGTATGTTTGTATTTATTACATTCTTTGTGCAAAACTTTTGTTGTCTTGTTACCTCAGTAGGGTGGTGGTGGTGTGTGCAATGCCTCCCCAACCACGTGAGAGGAGACCCTTTGTTTGTGGGAACTTAAGGAGGTGGAGTGCCAATATTTTTATACAGAGTAATCAAAAATATATATATTTAAAAGTGGGAGGTACCAACCAATTAGTGCCCTTTATTTTGGTGCCTCCCTCCTTAGAAGATTGTCTCTACTATTACCACAGAAGCATGAGCTAGGTAATTTCTCATTGATAGAGAGAAATCTTGCCTTCAGTTTATTTCACTGAAGAGAAAAATGTAATTTAGGAACATTAGGGTCAATACAAACCATATATATAAAAAAACTACGAATTACAGTTTTATAGCCACTAGGTAATGTGTTTCAAGGATTGGATTCCTCGTGATATACTAGAATAATTTCTGAATTAGTAAATGCGTCAGTGTGGAAGGAAAAAAAAAGCTTGATGTCTGCCCTTTGCCCCAAAATTCACTTGTATGAAGGAGTCTGTTTGATCCCTCTTCCGCTCCATTGCCTGCATTTTTAATTAAAAATACCCATCATAGTCATGGTCTTCTATACTGTACACTCAAAGAGAAGCTTCCAAACAAGCATTTTCATAGTCCAATTCTGGTTTTAAAAAAAGAGGGTGGGGGTACACACTTACTTGAATGTATTGAGTTAAGCCTTTTATTTTGCTCACAATATTTTTCTTTCTTAATTGACAAAAAAAAGGCTAAAGAATTTAAACTGATTTTTAGCACATTGCTAATGTGACAGAGCAGATTGGGAGCAATAATTAATTTTTAAAACATGCCACAGTTGGTGTGAGGTTTACCCTTCCAAATACATATTTATTTTGTGATATTTTTATTATAAATATAAAAGCTTTGTAGTCAAATTTATTTGTAGACTGAAATAGCTCCCATGAATTTCAAGATCGGTTTTTAATAACACTATAATAGGTATCATTCTCTATATAGTATAAAAGTATCTATAGTATCTATATAGTATTTCAGCTAACTAAATGTACAGTAGAACCTCAGAGTTACAAATGCCAGAGTTATGAACTGACCAGTCATCCACACACCTCTTTTGGAACCGGAATTATGGAGTCAGGGCGCAGCAGAGAAAGAAAATAAATAAATAAATTTAACTGTAAAAAAGCAAATATAGTATAGTACTGTGTTAAATTTAAACTATTTAAAAAATAGAAAGCTTAAAAGAAAGATTTGATAAGGTAAGGAAACCGTATTTGTGCTTTTTTCAATTAAATTAAGGTGGTTAAAAGCAGCATTTTTCTTCTGCATAGTAAAGTTTCAAAGTTGTATTAAGTCATCACTCAGCTGTAAACGTTTGAAAGAACAACCAAAATGTTTTGTTTAGAGTTACGAACAACCCCCCATTCCCGAGGCATTTGTAACTCTGAGGTTCTACTGTAGCCAAGTTTGTTACACTTGGAGTAATTATATATAATTAGTTATTTCAGTCTAAGTAAAGATCCACTATGGTTCAGGAATACTTGTTATTTCATATGACACAGCTATTTTAGAGGGTATATTATTTTCAAAATCATGCATGGAAATTTAGCTTCATGACTCCTATTAATGTTAGTAAGAGCTATTCAGCTAATTAATCTATTTTGAGTTTTTCTATAGCACGTACCATGAAAGCATGAAAGTGCTGATACTTGATGTGTTAAAAGAAAGCAAAAACATACACACCTGTATACCCTCCATCAAGGGGGTGATGGAATCCCTCCTAGACCTTGATTGTGATCAATGTATTCCCTGTAGCATGATGTTTAATTATCTTTCTTGTTGCTTATATGACAAATGTTATTGTTGATCATGAACTTATCCAGCCCTTTATCTGGCAGGATTTAAAATAATAAAAAAAGCAGGCACTTATCTGGATAACAAGAATATTCAAACTTACAATAGTACAAAAAACTAAAATAAAGTTTTGGAAGGAATATCATGTCTTTTGTGGAGCAAAATGTCTGGATTGAACCCATATTATGTGTTGCATTTTTTGAGTAGGAATAAAGAAACAGTGGCTACATTGAGTAAAAGCTTCTCCATTATTGAGGCATTACTCGCAAGGAAGCCCAAAACAGGGAATTTTTAATGTTGTCATTAGGAGAAAAACATTTTACATTTTTTCTCCTTTTAATTATGGTGGCATTTGAGAAGATACTATATACTGGGAGTATGGATTGAAATTAATTGTTTTAAAAGGAAATCTTGTGATTATGTCCCAATTACAGTACAACACCTAATACATGCTAGGTAAATAAAAACCATCTCTAGTTTTTTAATCCCTTATTTTAACTATTCTCCAGAATACCATTTTAATTTCAGTTGTTTATAATCAAGGATTTATTACTGCATCCCTTGGGGGCGGTGGGGAGGGAACCTTTCAGTTTTACATGTAGGACCAGATTTGAAAAGAGCTCAGCTCTTCTGCATTGAAATAAGCAGCCATATTTTCAAAACAGGTTTCAAAGTAGCAGCTGTGTTAGTCTGTATCCGCAAAAAGAACAGGAGTACTTGTGGCACCTTAGAGACTAACAAATTTATTTGAGCATAAGCTTTCAGATGCATCTGAAGAAGTGAGCTGTAGCCCACGAAAGCTTGTGCTGAAATCAATTTGTTAGTCTCTAAGGTGCCACAAGTACTCCTGTTCTATTTTCAAAACAGTTTAGCACACTGGATGTTGAGTCCTTAAAAATCTTGCAGTAAGTGTCATAATGGGAGCTGCTGAATGCTAAATACTTGTGAAAATCTGGCCCTTACTTGCACTTCAATGACAGATGAGCTCATGTGAAAATCAGGCTTGAATTGCTGGTGCTGAGCACTTGAAGTATCTGGTCTTAAACTCTTTTAAGAATCTGACTCAGTGTCTTTTTATGTCAATGAAGCACCATCGTACATGGTGACAATGAGTTATCCAACTCACTAATAATTGTTTTTTAATCATTCTGGAAGAACCACTGGGATTTAAAGATATCAGTTCATGCCAACAGTGTACTTATTGTTTTCTCCTTTTTTCAGCGTCTTGTTGAAGCTGCCGAGGATGCTCACTTGAAACATGAATTTGATGCTGATTTACAGGTAATTAGAAATTGGACATTGAAAAAAAAACATTTATCATCAGAACATCTAAAGGCTTATAGAATAGCTTTGTGTTATTACTCCAAGGACTGCTGTGGAAAGCCAAGCATGTGAGTAATAGAGGGATGCTTATTACAGAAAATGGAATTAAGGGAGATTGGCTCAGTATTTTGACAAGTTATGCACTCAGTGTTTGCATGTTGGGAGACTTAGAAGGTGGATTTTACTCCTTTAGAGATTTCATTTAAATTCCCTCCATGACTATTTAGGTCAAGATTTTTTAACACAGTAATTAGCAGCATATAGCATAGTTGCAGTGTACTGGGAAGGAATTGCTCTTTGGAGAGTTGAATTTTCAAATGGGGTGGAAACCCAGAGTGATGAGATTAGAGTGACATTGGACTGTGGAAATGGTTTGTGTTTGGACCCATAGCTAGTGCAGACAAGGCTTTTATACACAGAGGCTTTAGTGCTGCACCATCATTGTATAAAAATGGTGCCTTTTTCTGTGTACTGGTGTCAAAATACAAGGGAAGGGAGAAAACAAGAACAATTAGGAAACAAGATTAAAAAAAAGATTGAAAAAGCTTTAAGAAAATAAGGCAAAGCATATAAGAATACAAATTCATCAGACAATAAAATAATTGAAGCTAACTTAATAATAAAATATATATGTATTGTACTTCAATATTTAAATTAATAAATATCTTCCTGGCTGTAATGCATTTCTATTCATTGGTCCACTGAATGCCATATTCGGCAAAGGTATTATTTAGTTTGGCTCTCGCCATGTAGATTGTCTTCTAAAATTTTCTATGGATGTCCATCAAGAATCTACAAAAAGAACAGGAGTACTTGTGGCACCTTATGCTCAAATATATTTGTTAGTCTCTAAGGTGCCACAAGTACTCCTGTTCTTTTTGCGGATACAGACTAACGCAGCTGCTACTCTGAAACCCATCAAGAATCTGTCTATCTTAAGGTTGAGCAGTAAACATTAAGGAAAATAGGTTTAAGGAAAAGGGAAGAAGAGTACACTTAGAATCTGTCTCAATAGGTTTTGTTTTCAGAACTTGCCATGGTTACTTTATAGTCATAACAAAGTACCTTTTCATAATAAAATTCTGGTGTGGAATAACTGATTCCCTGTGAAAATAAATCTGTTATAGGAAGAGAATACCAAGAGTGACCTCTTCAGAGTTAAGGATAAGAAAGTTTTGAAATTAACATAAAATGTTGACATTAGAAGTAGTGATTCTTCATAATTTTTTAGTGTTATATCTATCTGGATTCAAACGGCTCAGAACTCTACTGCACTCCAGCCTTTGGAAGGCCTACTGCATTTCATTTTCTGAACTTCACACCTGGAAGAAATTGAATCTATTGTCTAAATAAATCAGGAGCACATTTCTGGAAGACTGTTTTAAATGTATAGAGTAAATGCCTCTTCACTGAGGATGGTTCTCACTTTGACAAAGTCCTTCATTTGTTGAGGCTTTGAAGATATAAACACTTTTAGGAAGCCAGTTAAAAGCCATTTGTGTCAGCAGCATTAACAGGACCATCAAATCTGTGTGTACAGCTCCTGTTGTTTATTACTGCCATGGTCCATTAAAGCTAATCAATTGTTAATCTTGGTTTTGGTGACCCCTCTGCAACCCAGCAACTCTGCAACCCTGCAATTTCTGGGAGATTGTTGTTGTTTATCAAAATCTCAGACCACCATCTGCTCAATATAAAAATAACGACCAGAATGATTTGGCAGTGTTCATTCAAGTTGAAGGGGATAGAAATCTTGCTGCAATTTTGCTGCAGAAGAGGAATTTGCAAAGCTTCTTATGCCTTGCCCTAAGTGTGGGAGACAGTGTGAAAGAAGTTTAAATTAGCGGTATGCTACACAACACGAGTCTAAGCTCTTTGTCTGATCCCCACTGCTCTTGAAAATGCAAAAGCAGATAAAGAAACTGTTTTTGTACTTTTTATTCATCCAGAATCATTGTCTGTGGTTTGATGAGCGTATGGACAATCTTCTATCACTACATAAAAATGATGTAAAGGAAAAATAAAATTATATTAATATTTTTATTGTGTGTGGGAAAATACCAAGTTAAGAAAATCACAGCTGGAAGAGTTCATTTTTTATGTCTTTGGAATTCTCTTTGGTAATGCTGAAATTCTATCCTTCTGTTGGGTCAAATTCAGTTCCTTATGGGTTTTATTCTTAATAGCTTTATTGGTATTATCCTTAGTGATCTTATAAAAATTCTAATCAATATACTATAGTGCATTATAATGATCTAAGCATTCAGATGTTTATCTCTGACACTGAATCTGTCGAAGTTAACAACAAAAACATCTTCAGTATGAGACATAAATAAAACTGTCCATTATTTGAAAGAAATAAATCAAACTGGGTGATATGATTGTCTAACTCACCAGCATCAAATACTGCATGTTTGATTAATGGCAGAGCTCTACCTCAGGCATATCTGAATTTAAAGCTTTAACTGTCTGCATTTGGCCTTGAGAAGTTCTTTGTTTCTACAGGAATGTGAACTAAGAGCTGAAGTTGTAGCAAGTTGGGGGTAGATGAACTTCTAAACATCTGGATTTCAAGTTCTAAGCCAAAACAATACTTTTCCCACTAGTGTATAGGATTTCAAAGTTATGCTTATAGTATGGTATCAAGGAGTGTTTGTCAAGTTTGCTTACATCTGAAGAAATAGTTCACAGATTTCACACAACAGGAATATTTATGTAAATATTAATCCACATTCTTACTGTTAAGTGTAGTTGCTTTATGACAATACTTCTATAGACTTATGAGTTTGCTCATCTCTGGATGACTTATAAAGTAGGGGTAAGTATTTTTATTTATTGAACACTGACAGTGTGCTTGCCTCTGTATAAAACAACTTAAAATGGCAGAGAAAGCAATAAAGAGACAGACTCCTCTGCATTGCCACAGGGAGGTTATCCTAGGATGCTGAGGCTTTTAAGTAGTTGTGAAACAGCCCTCTAACTTACCTGCAGGAGACTGAGGCTGGGTCTACACTACCCGCCTGAATCGGCGGGTAGAAATCGACCTCTCGGGGATCGATTTATCACGTCCCATCGGGACGCGACAATCGATCCCCGAATCGACGCTCTTACTCCACCAGCGGAGGTGGGAGTAAGCGCCGTCAACGGGAAGCTGCAGAGGTCAATTTTGCCGCCGTCCCTATAGCGGGGTAAGTCGGCTGCGATACGTCGAATTCAGCTACGCTATTTGCGTAGCTCAATTTGCGTATCTTAAATCGACCCCCCCGCCCCCGTAGTGTAGATGTAGCCTTAGTACTTCTAAGGAGAGAAGGGAAGAAGAGAGGATACTAGTTCACTCATCATAAGGAGATAATCTGTTGCAAAGGAATTGTAAATAACCGTATAACAAAATCATTCCTCTTGATTGAAGTCCAACATTCTAATTAAATTGCTTAGTACTCGTGCTTGGAGTATAAATTTCTTAAAATGCAGAACTCCTGGGAAAGAATGATTGAAGCACCATTCTGGATTCTGCTGGTTGAAGCCTTAGCACAGGGCCCCAAGCCGGGGAACGTCTGCCCAACTGGGGTCCCTCAACGGAGAGTGGGGAAGGCCTGGCTGGGATTCATTTTCCCTAGGAGTGCAAACTTTTCTACTCAGCCTACTTTGCACAGATCCTCCCACCATTCTGCCCCATAATAATCTCTCCAAACCTTTGGAAAATGGTCAGTTTTTATAATTTAAAACCACCTAAAATCGACTTCTAAAATCTAACTTATGGCTCTATGTAATTACTACTGCAGTTGCATACAAATGATGGGCCACTTCAAAGATTTAGTGATGTGATTAGCGGGTGCTTATCCAAACCACTCACTCAGCTGACAAAACTGTCTGCATCACAGTATTATATTGCAGCCACCATTTTAGTATGTGAGCACTTTCTCATGAGATTTATGGTACACTCTGATTTTCTTTGTATCTGAACAGTGTGAGCTCGAAAGCTTGTCTCTTTCACCAACAGAAGTTGGTCCGATAAAAAATATTACCTCACCCACCTTGTCGCTCTCTTATTCAGTAGCTGGCAGATATGTAATATCCTGTATTTTTAATAAACTCTTAAATACTTGTTGTGAACTCCTACATTCTATGCTCAGAAAAAAATAGGGCGATAGGCTGAAGCTTTTCTAAGTCAGTGTTACATGGTTAGGGTACTTTTTACATTGTGACAAATTCTTAACCCTTGAAAGTTTGCAATATGTGATACATCCTTGGGTAAGAGGAATGGTGTTACTACTCCTGTTTGACTGGGAATTGGGTGCCTAACAGCCCTTTGCGTCTTTCGAAAGCTCTATCCCTCATATGGGCACATATTTGAGGGTTTCCCAATTCTATAAATAAGTGAGCTACTTAAATTATTTCTCATTTTTACACATTCTGCCACCATGTGAACAACCATATAAGATGGAACTTCCACAGATGCTGTACAAAGGTGTGGTTGGAAATCAAAAATGGCAAGAGATGATTGGGAGAATAGGAGGAATTTGGCCCAGTGTGCAATTTCCTCCTGTTTTGCAATATGAGGTCCTAGTATTGCTGCCAGTGAAGTTGATGGGCATTTTGCTATTGACTCCAGTGGAAGCGCTGGCTCTTAGCATCTTTGAAAATCAAGCCACTAAATGCGGGGCGTGAGTGTGGATACTTGTCCATGAGAACCTGGACTGATACCACCGAATGCATTTCCCATCGCTCCCTGGCATTCTTTTTTTTTTTTTAAATAGTCAAAATGGAATTTTCTACTATTTAACCCTCATTAGAGAACAAAATTAATGTTCGTGTTTGGTTAACTGATGTCTGTGTATATTTAAAAAATAAATAACTAATTTATTATTAGAACTTCTTTGCTACACTAGTGTCCAGTGACCACAGCTGAGATTGGGGCCCTGTTGGGCCCTACCTTGTAGTACTGTACAAATACAGAG